GTATCTTAAACTTCATATAGCTTACGGCCTCTGAAGGTTAAATTACGACTCTGGGTCTGTCTTAAAATTAATTATTCTTAAATTCTGAAGGTTGATATTTTTCAAGACAATGGATACAGAGGAATGAAAGTTGAGTACCCACTTAGAAAGTCCAGAACGGAATACAAAGTACTGAAATTAATTTCCTATGGTATATCAAAGGCTGTACAAAATTAGACCATAAATGATACGTACCTTGTACTTTATATAATAAAGCAATGTCTTAATAATTGGCTGCAACATTTAAATAAAATGAAAGATTGCCTAATCCATAGAGTGAAGGAAAAGAAAACGTGTTTTGTTCTGTTCTCTTCCAGTATTTGTTCAATTTGTTCGGAAAACTAGCTATCAAATAACTAAACTATCCAGTTTATTTCTCGTCATTAAATTTAGACATAGTGCTGCAACACAAGAACGCCTCCACCTCGAATAAAACAATGACACGACCAAGCGCATATGAGTGACTCAATGGGATAATACACCACTTCTTGTGCAACACAAAAGATAAAGTGTTGTATTACAAAACAGTGGTTTATGAACATGACTTTAAGGATCAGAATGCAATCTTTATACACAGTGTTTTGTGACAATACATTGTGTGAATTATATGGATTTTAAGGACCGATTTAATACATCGCGCCACTGATGATGACCTCATGAGGTTGAAACGCGTCTGGCACAATGTGTTTTAAAGTGTTTCAATGCGTAAACCGTTGGTTTATTTACGTGTTTTTATGTGTTTAAATTCGATACTACACGGTAAGCAAGGTTTTAAGATCATTAAATTTACGTAACTGAGCCATCAGCTGCATGGACTGTACAGTGTTGAATGCTAATATTTAATTTTAAATTATATTGATCGTGGCCTAAGTTATGGCACTATCCTTGAACCTGAAACGATTAAAGTAAACCACATAAAGTTTTACGATAACTGGTTTTCGGGACAAAAGAGGAATCAGAGACTTTCTAATGCGAAACAGGTTTCTTTGCCAACACTCATCCCCACGTTGCTTTTTATATTTCTTTCCATGCAAGTTGCTTCCAAAGTCAACTCATTTCCTGTTCGTTTATCTGCGTATAATGTACAGTCTGACTATATGTGTTACACAGAAATTATGCCTAAGAATTATATAGAACTTAAAACTATCGTAATAATTCCTCTACTCAGTTTAATTACTAACTCTGTTTGTACAATTTACATTTATAATATGATACTGTAATTTACAGGAACAGTAAAGGCAGCTGTTAAAGGATTTGTATTGAAATTTAAGTCGTGTCAAGATTTCCGTCTTCTGGGTTGTTGCCCTGATGACGGAGGCAGTATGATCTCTGAAACGTTGGTTAACATCGACCAGACTTCACAGCTCAACAACCCAGAAGACGGAAATCTTTATACTCACCGCTGTGAGAACCTCAAGTCTTACTTAAGTCGTGTCATTGACATCTTTATCTTTTAAACGGTCCAAATCTGAAGGTTGCCGTCTTCTTTGTTATTGCGCCGTGTAGTCTGTCTGGTAGAAGTTTTCCGACGTTTCGGAAGTGTTTGCTACCTCCATAATCAGGATGATGAGTGCCGTGATGATGAAAGAAACGAACTTCTGATACGTCGGTGAACTTCTATCAGACTAAACGGCGCAACAACTCAGATGACAGGCATCCTCAGACTCACCGCCGTTAACTCATTTTATATTAACGAAATTTTCATTATCGGACTTATGAGTAACAAGAGGGCCCACTACACTGTGCAACAAATTATAGGTAATTTCTTGTTATGGGCATCAAAATAAGTTGAATCTATAGATTTTGGGGTGATAAACACAGAAACAGTGCTTACATTGACAGATTGGCTCTTATTTTCGAAAAAAACTAGTTTGTTTTATTTATACAAGGTATTTTTTAGTACATGGCAGTAAGATGTAGCTACAAACACATCTTTGTAAAACACGGCGCCTCTTTGTCTTTTGTTTATAGTTAGTTACTGGAGCATCTCTTTTCACCATCCGACAATAATCAGCTAACATGGCGGCACTTCATTTGCTTTTGTATCTTTGCTCCATCGCTGAGATGTCTTGATGGAAGCGCTCACCATGTTCGTCGCTGACGGCACCACAGTTTGACGGGAAGAAATCCAGGTGTGAGTGTAAGATATGCATCTTCAATGACATATTGCACCCCAATTTTCCATAAGAAGTCAGTGAGTTCACTTTCTGTTTGATAAAATTTATCACAGTCATTATTTCGAGTACGAAATGTTGTCACTTTCACAGAGTGATCTAGAAGATTCCACTGTTGTAGCCTCGAGGCCAAAAGCTCTGCCTCATTCTTCGGCAGTTCGAGATCCTTGATGAGGTCATTAAGCTCACTTTCTGTGATCTTATGTGGTTCAGAAGGATAGAGTTTTGTACAAAATGCTGGATCCCTTGACGTAGACGGCTACTGTACTTCTTCGTTTATATCAAGCTCAACATGAGCATCACCAGTGTCTTCATCTTCATCAGACTCTACATAAAACTTTCGGGCGGTTCAGGAATAGGTAATAGTTCACCGTGAGGGACGGGGCGAATTACAAATGGTATATTTGGGTACGTAAGTGTCCACTTTTCATTCATTGTCACCCCTTTTCAAATAAAAATAACAGTCTGTGATGTGATTTGTTGGATCCCTCCATACTATGGGCACTGCGAAAGGCTCAGAACGTCCTTTACAATTCACCAACGGTTTGAGTTCTGATGAACAGGTAGTGCAGTATATGTGTGGAGCCCAGTTCTTGTCCTGATCGCCTAATTTACACCCAAACTACAATGCGCAAGCCTTTTTTATGGCTTAGTTAACGTACACTCTACTGAAGAAAACGTAACTTCTCCACATACGTAACAGACGTTATTCGGACTATTCACACAATTACGGACATTTTAATCTTACACGACACAAATACTGCGCAAAAAGTAGGAATATCACAGAGGACCGTTAACTGGGAACAAATCACCCAGTACCTGGCCGAATTCGAAGAATACTGCAAAAGTTGAAGATGAATTTGAAGCGGCAACAACTTATCACGTAATGCAGAGTGGGGTGACTGTTGCTGATCACGTTTTAAGAGCGTGGTGGTACTATAACTGATAATAATGTAGATTAACTCGCTAACATGAGATCCCAACCGTAATTCGAAAACGGGAGCCAATCGACACACTTTAATGTGATTTTTCTTTTCAGTAGCCTAAAAATAGTCAAGATTGGTTAGTTTCATTTTCATAACAATTTACGTGTTGACCAGTGTAAGAGATGTAAATGAACATTTGTAGAATTTCCCTGCTATGGAAAACTGAACTAATAAAATCATATTGACTGTCAATTTTATAGAAAAATTTGTGCCTCCTTTCAAACAAACGACATGCATACACTGGATACCAACAATACACAAAGTGTTACTAATATGGCGTCTTCTTCTTTTGTAATCAATCCTTGGATTGGTTGGCAGCAGCTCTTTCTGAGCTGCTGATACTTGGGTAATCCTGAGGATCTTTAATGCGGTGGATTCCCCTTGCCTTCAGCATCCTTTGCCGTTGACCTATCCGGGTACCGCCTTTAGGGGTGATTTCTCACCCCAAGTGTATCAGGGTGCCCTGAACCTCCACCCACTCATCCTCCCTCCGAAGAGGCTGTTGGCACAATTCAATATATACTTTCTCAGGTCTCAGATATTCATTCAGTAAGTTCTCTGTCATGTGGTCCAAATCGCTATATTTCTTTCGTAACTAGCAGTTAATTTGTTAACTCCTTGTTTTGCTTTCAAAGGTTCCATGTACAGCATCGCATATCATGTACAATCTTAATATATTTTACATGTATATTTATCATTCTCCTTTCTTATAACAACATCGTCTTGTGCGAATTGTTCGCCGAATTTACGACTAATACAGTCCATAAAATCATCAGGGCATTTGTTTATTTATTTACAGTTTACTTAAGGACGATAGTGAATAATGATAAGGATACCTGTTAAAGGCACTGGCCTGGATGGCCTGAGGAAAATCACAAAATACTTCAGTCTCCGAGCCGAAATTTCAACCCGGGACCTCGCGAATACGACGTTCGGTGTCAGGTTTCTGTTTATTCTGAAAATGAATTTTGTAGATGAATGTAAATCCATTATTTATGGTTTGGTTTGGTTTGGTTTCATGTCCATGGAGTTTTTAACTACACGCTTCTTACCGAATAATTGTGATGTCAGAAACATCTGACAATTCTGTCTTGAGGCTGGCAACAGGAAATTAACGAGCATGGGGTATCTAGAAGCATTACTGGCCATCATGAAGACGAGACCAAAACTGAGGGTTGATTCATAACTATGATTTGCTACTGAGGTCGAGTTTTGGCTATGCATCTAACTTGGTACAGTCTCTCAAAAACAAGACATTTAATGGGGTGTGTGAGTTTGTTTAACAAATGTTTCTTATGACGGATTTCCAGTGTGACTAGTGTAGTATGAGAAAATGATAGGATTTTTCACGGCTAAGCAAGTGGAGTCGTGGGTAAACAAATATCTAATAACGCCATTCTAAATTTCATAAGTCATGCCACACCAGTAAGTCCAATGTTACTTGATGGTTAACGTTTCTCGACATATCTACAGCTTCGCTGTTACTACTATTCAATCCATCGCCAATATCTGGGATTCTATTCTTTCTTTCCACTATTCTATGCTTTCCTCTCATCTGACGGTTGGCAGATACAGCCATAAATGAATATGACAGGTGGAATAAAATAGGTGTGTTAAATGTTTAATGGGTATGATATTTATCAGTTCGTAACCAGATGAGTACACGATACATGAACCTTCAGACAGGATAAGGAAATATGTAACTAATGTTTCCTTCATGCATTTTTATTAAAATTGTTAAGGTATAGTCTGTTTATATTTTTCTTTCAGAACGTTTGTGTACGGTTTCATTTAATTACAGGTTTCACATGGCAACGCCGATGGTCGAACCAAGAAACCGGAGGTGAGTAGAAATTAAAACTACTAGAACAAACTACATTATTAGGCCATAGTCCTGTGCGTTTGGTAGAAACGTAGTTCATAGTTTGCTGATCCTATGTAGAAATAAACAGACAGAGATTGTAAAATACGTTTTCAAGTAGTTGAATTGGTTTTGCAAGTTGAAGAAAATGGTTTGCATTAACTCCTTATAATAAAATAGCTGTTCCGAATAATATTACATTCAAATTCACAATAAATTTTGATCAGGCGTCACGAAATTAAATTTACATAAATGATTCGAAAATAGAATATTATGCGAATTTGAAAACAGATTTTTCATAAATGAAGAGCAAGTAAAATGTTATTAATTTTCTAATAAATAATAATACATTTTTAGTCGTATTGGTATCGAACAGTGACATTTGGTTTAAACTGAAGCTGCTCACACACTACAATTGTCAATTATTCTCAGACTTACCATTTCTCGGAGCACCTGAACAACACGGTGCTCTGCCGAACACCATTACAGCTGATCCTTTTATCATCTTATTCAGAACTGTGTACAATATTATTATTACAAACTCCATATTACGGTCGTGTCCTATCAACGAATGGCGATGGTGATGGCTGCTATAATGATGATGATAATAACAGGAATGCGAATTTCTAGCTGACCATTATTATATGAATTCAGGGGCGTAACACCTCATCCCATGTTGCGGCGTGTTTCAAAAGTAGCTGTACAACTTTGCTGGAGAATATAAATGTATTTAAAGGACGTGTGCAATATTTTTAAATTCACAAATTTAGCCAAACACATCAAGTTTCATGCACACAAACTGTAGTACCGAAAACCGCCACCGCGAGCGCTCCTGGCCAGTTGTGATCAAGATGGCTACTTTCACAGGTGCGGAACGAGCTTGTTGTGTGCTTTGGTTTGAAGAAACAAAGTCTGCTACAACGTTCGAAGGGAATTTCGCACCCATAATCGCAAGGAACCACCCAGTAGGCGTACAATTTACTCGTGGCACAAGAATTTTGTTGAGACTGGATGTTCTGTGTGCCATACCAAGAAAGCCGGTAGGCCACGTGTTTCTGAAGACGCCGTGGAAAAGATTAGGGAGAGCTTCGCTCGAAGTCCACGCAGGTCAACGAGACGTGCATCTCGGGAAAATGGGATTCCACATGTGACTGTGTGGCGAGTGTTATGAAGACGTTTACACTTAAGAGCGTACAGATTATCCATCGTGCAAGCCATTTCAGATGGTGATAAACTGGCTCGTAAGAAATTTTATACGGAAATGTTGCGGCGGGTTGAAGACGACGAAGAATTTCTGGACTCAGTAAATTTCAGTGACAAAAACACGTTCCATTTCACTGGTAAGGTCAACACCCACAACTGCAGGACTTGGGGTAGTGAAAATCCACGTTCCTTCCTGGAACATGTTCGTGACAATGGAAATGTTAACGTGTTTTGAGCCCTCAGCAAAGATAAAGTGTACGGCCCCTTCTTTTTCATGTAGAAGACCATTACCGGCATCGTGTATCTGGACATTCTCCAACAGTTCCTCGTTTCTCAACGTGACGAAGATGACCAGGAAGGACGCATTCACTTCCAGCAAGACGGTGCACCTCCTCATTACCTCGGAGAAGTGCGCGAGTACCTCAACAACCGTTTCCCAGGTCGGTGGATTGGTCGGGGTCGCACCAATAGCATGGCCACCTCGTTCCCCGGATCTAACACCTTTAGATTCTTTCTTATGGGGATTTGTTAAAGATCGAGTGTACGTGCCACATTTGAGAAAGTCATACAAAATTTTAATCAGTATATAAGAAGAAAATATTTGGGACATATTGGTATAGATGACAAGATAGTACCAGGTGATTCAAAAAGGACTTTACAAATTTGAAAGTGTATAGAAATTTATTCAGAAGGCTTACAGAATCGGTTGAGGTGTCATTTTGTAGCAAACCAAATCAAGGTTTACCTCAAACAATCATTTTGGTTCGATGTGATTGCCATTGGTGACACTGCAGACATCCCACCTGATATCAATTTCTTGCCAAACACGGTCCAGCATATCCGGTGTCACTTCTGCAACTGCGGCGGTAATTCGAGCTTTGAGCTCAGTGAGATTGGCAGGTAAGGGTGGAACAAACACACGATCTTTAATGAAACCCCATAAGAAAAAATCGAGAGGTGTCAAATCTGGAGAACGAGGTGGCCATGCTATCGACCCTGTTCGACCAATCCATCGACCTGGGAAACGGTTATTGAGGAAATCCCGAACTTCTGTGAGGTAGTGCGCCGTCTTGCTGGAAGTGAATGCGTCCGTCTTGGTCATCTTGATCTAACTGTGGTATGAGAACATTTTCGAGCCATTTTCAAATGCACTGTCGCTTACGCTCGCGGTGACGGAATTCGGTACTACAGCACAACGCGAGTCAAACTTGATTTGTTTTGCTACAAAATGACACCTCAACCGATTCTGTAAGCCCTCTGAATAAATGTCTATACACTTTCAAAGTTGTAAAGTCCTTTTTGAATCACCTGGTACTATCTTATCATCTACACCAATATGTCCCAAACAATTTCTTCTTGTTTACTGATTAAAATTTTGTATGACTTTCTTATATTTCCCATAGCCGTTTCAAGCTCCAACCATCTTACAACCTTGATCTCATCACCGTAATAATAAGTGGTGAAAAATAGAAGAAATGCTCTAAAATATTTTAAAATTCTTGTTAATTTCTTCCTCTTAGATCATTATATTTTCTCATAACATGTTAAGAGACCTCTTAGTCTACGTAAGGTGTTCAATTATCTTGGGACTCAAGGTTTGGAACTGAAGTAAATATCAGACAAAGACGTGTTTATTATTTGAATTAACAGTGCCATTTTTATATGTACTGCCATCTCTCCTACTACGTACATAAGGAACGTTTTTTGTCAGTTGATATATATCTTTTTGTTTTTGCCCTTGCTATAAGAAGTCGAAAATTCTTCAGATTGGTTCACTTCTTCATCAGTCTAATGGAGATATTCTCTGAAGAAGTACATTCTCTGACTGGAACTAATATCTATAAGAAGTGTATCCGTGCGTAAATTTCCTGCGATTCGCTTCAGAGAGAGAGAGAGAGAGAGAAATAGAATGAAGCCCTTAATGAAAACAGACTTATTACAATCCGTTTCGAAGAATACTTTAAGTATATTAAACCTACTATACAAACTTGGTTTCTGTGATGAAGACAATTTTATGACTGCTGTATTACTAATATTGTACAGTGAATTCTATATTTAGTAGAATAGCTTTTAATATGGTACTTTGATATAAAAATACGAGTAGTATCAGATTATGACTTTTTGTTACCTATAATGTCATATAACATAGAGTTTGTTGGAATGTGTTCAAAAGGTTTAAATGTTGAAATTACATTTGTTATATAATGAAAGCAGAAAATTTATACCCCCAATTCTCCATATGAATTAATACCGTAGCACTTAATTAAGAACACCGATAATTTTACCTTAGTAGGAAAAGCGTGAAGTGGATCGTGTGAAGAAAGTTTTGGAGGGTGTGGTTTGGATTAATCTGGTATATAATACGGGCTAATATCCGGCGCTTGTGAATGCGTTTATGAAACTTCGGGTTCGATAGAAAACGGGAAATTTCTTGAGCGTCCTGTTCGCTTCTCGAGGACTTTGCTTCATGGAGATAGTCACACAGTCCAGGCATATTGTATTCCAATTATAGCGTCGGAAACCTACATCAACACAAATCAAGCGCCACATAAGTTATCAGCCGTCGGACGGTAAATTAATGCAGAACTCGTTAACGGGCTTGACTAAGTTACGCATAAAACATGAATTTAATTTTTCTCCTCCCGCTAGTGGTACGTGTTATGCAAGTTTCAAATTTGAGAAGCGCTCTCAATAAATAAGAATTAGATAGCCGAAGCTTAAAGATAGTTGTAAACCCTATTTTATTACACCAGGGTTGTATAAACTCTTGCGTAATGAGACTGAAGTATTGAATCGTTAATGTAATTTTGGTTCGAGGTAGTGCTATTCAGTATACCTCATCTCCCATCTGGTGAGTTGAAATTAATGCCGGGCAATGTATGATATCTCTGGGATTATTGTCATCACTCACACTGCATTTACTCTGAAACAACATAACTCCGTCGGAGACCCCTAATACACGTGGGAACTGCCCCAGTACCAGCGCTCTAGAAGCGACGCAAATCTGGAAATGCACCTGATGGAATTAAAAAAATGTGTTTAAAGAAATAGTTTTTCGTGAGTGTTAATAAACATTTCATCAAATCATAATACCTATTAATAGCAAAGTTCTTTACAAACAAACTCACAACTGCAATGTTTAACGATAGATATGTCATTTTTCTTCCGTAAAAGAAGTTAGGTCTGTTTATGGAAAATCTGTACTAATGATATAACTTATTAGTCAGTAAAATTGATTTATATAACATGAGCATAGAAAAGACAAACCGAGAAATTCTCGCGAAAATGAGACAGAGATGTTTATATTTGCTCAGTTACTTAATAAATTCCGAATCCGAATGTTTATTGCCATGTTTATGTAAGCACACCACTTGCATCTGTACTGAAACAGGATATGTAATCATGTCCACGCCGACCTTCTGAAAGAAAGATCACTGTTGGGCCTGATATTAAGATTTCGTGACATGCTGGATTTGTGATGACAGATTTCCGTCCTCCCACTCCTCAGGATTAAGGACTATTTACGTCGGCATGTCGTGGCGCCCAGTCAGTTATCACTGGTGCCGGGTAAGAAGGGCTTAAGTCATACGAAAGCCATATGTTATATGTCTTGTCTCAAACTCATCTTGCTAAGCATCAACGGCATGTTTTGAATAGATGTATTTATATAAGTTTTCAGTCTCATCTGCTGCTTTATACTCAGCCATCCTTGTTGCATATAAATTGATCTTTTGTGCCCTTCTGATACACAAAAAGAGTGATGTGTTAACTGTATAATG